AAAAAAAAAAAAAAAAAAAAAAAAAAGCCTTTCTTTGGAGGCAGGAGCGGCATCATTTATATCTTAATCATAGAGACAGAGACCAGGTTCTGATCATTCCCCAGAGGGAAATGGATCGATGTGCACCTAGCAGTATCATCATGCTCTGCAGGGTCTGCTCTGTGGCTGATTGGTGGGCTGGTCACCCTGTTGGCACCTGTTTGCCTCCTCCCCAAGCTGTGCCTCCCCCCAACTTTTGCCATGGGCCCTGCATCCCCATAAACAGCCCCTCTCTGTGCAGGTTGATCCCCATCTTGGTGAATGGGATGAAGTACTCGGAAATTGACATCATCCTGCTCAAGGTCAGGCAGGGCCCACCCAGCATGGGTGGGCGTGGTCATGGGTGTCATGGCTGTGGTCCCCAAAGTACTTAATAGTCTGCCTGTCCCCCAGGGGGATGTGGAGGAGGACGAGGCTGTCCCTGACAGTGAGCAGGACATCAAGCCACGCTTCCACAAGTCACGCACGGTGACACTGCCCCACGAGGCTGAGCGGCCTGATGGCTCCGAGGACGCGGAGGATGACGACGATGATGATGCTCTCTCCGACTGGAATTTGAGTGTGTGCCCCTACCTGGGGGTGGGGGTGGGGTGGCAAGCCCAGGACTCCCTCTTGGGAGGTGACTGGAAGCTGAGGCAGAAGCTGATTAGAAGCTGATCGTGAAGATTCTGATCATGATCTCTGATCCTGGGAGTACAGTCAAGGAGGTCGACCACCTGCCTGAGGGGCCGCCCTGAGCCTTCCCGTTGTCTCCCCTTCCCCAGGGAAGTGCTCAGCGGCCGCACTGGACGTCCTCGCCAATGTCTTTCGGGAGGAACTGCTGCCCCACCTACTCCCGCTACTCAAAGGCCTCCTCTTCCACCCCGAGTGGGTGGTCAAGGAGTCGGGCATCCTGGTGCTGGGAGCCATTGCCGAGGGTGAGTGCACCTAATCTCTGAGCCCCATGCTGGCATGAGACTGTAGGACTGGCCCACATTACTGGCCACACCAAAGGCTCAGTTCTTTCTGGAGGCCTACTCACCCCACTCCAGACAGCTCTGAGATCTCTATTCTCCCCTTGGTTTTGGGCCTGAAAGGAACCCCTGGAATCCCACAATGCAAGGCCTCTTGTTCATTCTCAGAGGCAGGCAGTTCTTTCATGTTGTAAGCATAATTACAGCAACAACGATAATAACAGCAGGCACAGCTGCATGCTTGCCCCGTGCACTTACATAGACAAACATCCTTGGCCCTCACCAGCACCTGATGAGGTGGGTGCCGGATCCCAGTTTCAAAGATGGGGAAACTGAGGTACAGAAAGATTGATGCCAGTTCCTTACAGTCACCCAGGGTGCATCTGGGCCTTAAACCTGTTCCTGGCTGCCAGGCTGGCCTGCCAGAGTCAGTAGTAAACCGTGGTAGGTGGTGTTTCATCAAATTCAACCTGGTGTCCTGTAATGGGTGGGGTTTTCAGGCTCCCATGGTCCCGATGGGACATAAAACTTGTTACAGGAGGGCTTTGTGAGTCCGTTGGAGGCATGATATGCCATTGCCTTAGCATCCAGACCTGTGCCAAAAATTTCAGGCATGGCAGCAAAAACCCTCAACCTTGTAAGCTTTAAACATTTGTTTAAAATTCGTCTAGTTACTGTGGTGCACGCCTGTAATCCCAGCTACTCAGGAGGCTGAAGCAGGACAATTGCTGTAGCCCAGGAGTCTGAGACCAGCCTGGGCAACGTAGGGAGACCCTCTTTCTACAAAAATTTTTTTAAAAAGGCCAGGTGTGGTGGCTCATGTCTGTAATCCTAGAACTTTGGAAGGCTGAGGCAGGCAGATTGTTTGAGCCCAGGTGTTCAAGACCAGCCTAGGCAATATAGTGAGACCTCATATCTACCAAAAAAACCCTTAAAAATCTGATAAAATTAGCCAGCATGGTGGTAAGTTCCTGTAGTCCCAACTAATTGGGAGGCTGAGGTGAGAGGTCAAGGCTGCAGTGAGCCATGATTGCGCCACTGCATTCCAGCATGGGGAACAGAGTGAGACCCTGTCTCCAAAAAAAAATTTGTCTAAGGAAACGTTTCGACATGTATTATGTGTTTAATGTATCTGATATCTCATGTTAATAGGGTATATACCACGCAATACGCTTGTATATGTTAATAGATTACATAAACTGTGTTATCTATTTATTTTTTTGAGACCGAGTCTTGCTCTCTCGCCAGGCTGGAGTTCAGTGGCATGATCTCAGCTTACTGCAACCTCTGCCTCCCAGGTTCAAGTGATTCTCCTGCCTCAGCTTCCCGAGTAGCTGGGACTACAGGTGCATGCCACCATGCCCAGCTAATTTTTTCGTATTTTTAGTAGAGACAGGGTTTCACCACCTTGGCCAGGATGGTCTCGATCTCCTGACCTCATGATCTACCTGCCTTGGCCTCCCAAAGTGCTGGGATTACAGGTGTGAACCACCTTGCCCAGCCAGCCACTGTGCCTGGCCTCTTTTTTTTCTTTTTTTGAGACAGTGTCTCACTCTTATCGCCCAGGCTGGAGTGCAATGGCATGATCTCGGCTCACTGCAACAATACTCTGGTATTGAACTCCTGACCTTGTGTTGCATGAGCTCCTGGGTTTAAGCAGTTCTCCTGCCACAGCCTCCAGAGTAGCTTGGGATTACAGGAATCCTCTACCAAGCCTGGCTAATTTCTTTTTTTTTCTTTTTTTGAGACAGAGTTTCACTCTTACTGTCCAGGCTGGAGTGCAATGGCGCAGTCTTGGCTCACTGCAGCCTCCACCTCCCGGGTTCAAGAGTTTCTCCTGCCTCAGCCTCCCAAGTAGTTGGAATTATAGGCGTCCACCACCATGCCTGGCTGATTTTTTTGTAGTTTTAGCAGAGACGGGGTTTCTTTCACCATGTTGACCAAGCTGGTTTCGAACTCCTGATCTCAGGTGATCCATCCACCTCAGCTTCCCAGAGTGCTGGGATTACAGGTGTGAGCCACCGCACCCAGCCTGTATTACATGTTTATGGTAAAAATATCTATAGGAGTTGAGCTCAAACTGGTAAACATAGATCTTGTGTCTTGGATTGTTGGGGGATGTGCTATTATCTTCGTTCTCTTTACATAAAAGAGCAGTGTTCGTGATCTTTAAAAAAAAAAAAAAGGCTGGGTGTGGTGGCTCAAGCCTGTAATCTCAGCACTCTGGGAGGCCAAGGTGGGTGGATCACCTGATGTCAGGGTTTCAAGACCAGCATGGCCAACATGGTAACACCCCACCTCTACTAAAAATACAAAAATTAGCCAGGCGTGGTGGCACATACCTGTAGTCCTAGCTATTGGGAGGCTGAGGCACGAGAATCACGTGAACCTGGGAGGCAGAGGTTGCAGTAAGCGGAGATCACACCACTGCACTCCTCCCTGGGGGACACAGCGAGACTCTGTGTCAAATAAAACATTAAAACATTTTTTAAAAGGGCTGGGCAGTGGCTCATGCTTGTAATCTCAGCACTTTGGGAGGCCAAGGTGGGTGAATCAACTAAGGTCAGGAGTTCGAGACCAGCCTGGCTAACACGGTGAAACCCCGTCTATACTAAAAATAGGAAAAATTAGCTACGAGTGGTGGCAGGCGCCTGTGGTCCCAGCTACTCGGGAGGTTGAGGCAGGAGAATTGCTTGAATGAGGGAGGCAGAGGTTGCAGTGAGCTGAGATTGTGCAACTACACTTCAGCTTGGGCAACAGAGCAAGACTCTGTCTCAAAAAAAAAAAAAATTAAAAAGTTAAACAAAAATAACATGAAATAGAAGAATCACAAACGACCAGGCACCTATAATCACAGCACTCTGGGAGGCTGAGGCTGGGGGATCACGTGACGTCAGGATTTTGAGACCAGTCTGGCCAACATGGTGAAACCCCTCTACTAAACCATCTCTACTAAAAATATAAAAATTGGTTGGGTATGGTGGCAGGTGCCTGTAATCCCAGCTACTTGGGAGGCTGAGGCAGGAAAATCACTTGGGAGGCAGAGGCTGCAGTGAGCCGAGATCACGCCGTTGCACTCTAGCCTGGGCGACAGAGCAAGACTCCGTCTCAAAAAAAAAAAAAAATCACAAACATCTTAAGAACTGTTTCAAATGCAAAGTACTTTTATTCCATTTGGGTCACTGCTGCCCCATAAAACCCCACTCACTATGTAAGGGAGCCAATTTTGAATTAATGCATGACCAGATAAACTAACACGGGGCTCTTCGGCTGGGCGCGGTGGCTCAGGCCTGTAATCCTAGCACTTTGGAAGGCCAAGGCGGGTGGATCACTAGGTCAGGAGACCGAGAGCATCCCAGTCAACATGGTAAAACCCCGTCTCTACTAAAAATACAAAAAATTCCCTGGGCATGGTGGCAGGGGACTGTAATCCCAGCTACTCGGGAGGCTGAGGCAGGAGAATTGTTTGAACCATGAGGTGAAGGTTGCGGTGAGTCAAGATCATACCACTGCACTCCAGCCTGGGCGACAGAGTGAGACTCTGCCTCAAAAAAAAATAAAGATAACCTGGGGCTTTGGGATGAGAGGCTTCTGCTGTTTCCCCTCCTGCGCCTGCCTTTCCCTGGCTCTGTGAAATGAGTCTGGGTCAGTGATTTAACCTCTTAAGCCTCAGTTTCCCTATATGTTGTGTGCGGCTGACTCTTTCTCTCCATAGGGTGGGTGTGGCTGGGCCTAGCTTGCTCCTGGGGCCCAGTCAAACTGCCCCCTCCTGGTTCCCTTTCCTTATAGGCTGCATGCAGGGCATGGTGCCCTACCTGCCCGAGCTGATCCCGCACCTGATCCAGTGCCTGTCGGATAAGAAGGCCTTGGTCCGCTCCATCGCCTGCTGGACGCTGAGCCGCTATGCCCACTGGGTGGTCAGCCAGCCGCCCGACATGCACCTCAAGCCCCTGATGACAGAGCTGCTCAAACGCATCCTGGATGGCAACAAGAGGGTGCAGGAGGCGGCCTGCAGGTGACCCTGGACCCCTGATCCCACAGCCCCCACTCTCCCCCGGCCACCCCCTGGGAAGTGATGACACCTGTGACTGTTGATGTGTCACTGATTTCTCTCGTATTCGTACTGGCTGATCCTGAGTTGCCCTCCCCCACTGCCCATGGCCCAGTGCCACCTGCCATGGCCCACTGAGCCCCCCGCCCCATCCTCCCTCCTGCCAGTGCTTTCGCCACCCTGGAGGAAGAGGCCTGCACGGAGCTGGTGCCCTACCTCAGCTACATCCTGGACACACTCGTCTTTGCCTTTGGGAAATACCAGCACAAGAACCTGCTCATCCTCTACGACGCCATTGGCACCCTGGCCGACTCTGTAGGCCACCACCTCAACCAGCCGGTGAGACCCCAGAGCGGCTTCTGCCTCCCGATCCCTGTGCCCCTGGGCATCCAGTGACCTGGTGGCAACCCCGTGTTGCACGCCAGGGACATGGCCATGACCTCGGCAGGCAGACAGACAGACCCGGCCCCGCCCTCGCCCTGCTCCCAGTCTAGTGGGGGAGAAAGACAGTTATGAGACAGCGTGGTAAGTGCTGTGCTTCGGGAACCAGGAGGCGGTGACCCAGGCTCCCAGGGGGGTGGGGTGGGGAGGACAGTGCTTGGACAGGTGAGAAGAATGAAGGCCTCCAGGTCTGGCCAGATGACAGGCCTTTCAGGATTCCATGAGCAAGGCGCTCAGGCCTCATCACTCGGGCAACAGGTGCCTGAGTCACAGTCTGCCACCCCGACCCAGGGAGCGCCAATTTCATGCTCCCTCTCCAGGAATACATCCAGAAGTTGATGCCCCCACTGATCCAGAAGTGGAATGAGCTCAAGGACGAAGACAAGGACCTCTTCCCCCTGCTGGAGGTGAGTGGGCTCCTGCGCCTCTCCCGAAGCCCATCCTGCCCACCCCGCCTGAGTTCTCCCCATCTGCCTTCCTCCCTGCCAGTGTCTGTCATCAGTGGCCACCGCCCTGCAGAGTGGCTTCCTGCCTTACTGTGAGCCCGTTTACCAGCGCTGCGTCACCCTGGTGCAGAAGACGCTGGCTCAGGCCATGGTGAGCACCCCCACGCCCATCACCTATGCTTCTGCATTGGCCTGCCTCGGGCCTGCTCTCCACTCACCCTTGCCCCTGTCCCCATCTGTGTCTAGATGTACACCCAGCACCCCGAGCAGTATGAGGCTCCCGACAAGGACTTCATGATCGTAGCACTGGATCTGCTCAGCGGCCTGGCTGAGGGCCTGGGTGGTCATGTGGAGCAGCTGGTGGCCCGCAGCAACATCATGACACTGCTGTTCCAGTGCATGCAGGTGGGTGGGGACCTGGACAGTGATGACACCCAGCAGCCTGCGTGGGCTGCCCCTGGCGGGGACTCAGGGCCTGGTTGTGCGCAAAGAAAATCAGGGAAAAGGGGCTGTTCTAATTATTTTAAACAGTGATCCTGGAGGCTGAAGCGGGAGGATGGCTTGAGCCCAGGTGTTTGAGACCAGCCTGGGCAACATAATGAGACCCCAGTTCTAAAATTTAAAAAAAAATTTTTTTTTTTGTTTTTGAGAGGGAGTCTTGCTCTGTCGCCCAGGCTGGAGTGCAGTGGCC